ATGGCACAAATCTGAGTTCGCCAACGCGTGCGGTGAGAATTGTTGCAAAATTGCTTAATTTAGAGCTTGAAATACGGTAAATTCGATTAAATTTTTACAAACTGTTCAATTGGGTGTGTCTCAAAGTGATTTTCTGTGCTTTTCTCCCTTTCTAGTAACATTGATTTGGAAAATGGTGAACACTTAAAGGAACCATTCATAAAGGTGAGTTAAATCACTGTATTTTTTTCAATTTGATGTAGTTGCGTGGATGAAATGGCTCAATAAAATAGGATGTTGAAAAAATCATTATTTTCTATTTTTTCGCACAATTAATTAGCTCAATCCAGAGCACACAGTGCCAACGCTTATTGATGATGGTTTTGTCATATGGGACAGTCATTCAATTTGTACCTATCTAGTTGACAAATACGCAAAAGATGATTCGCTTTACCCGAAAGACTTGCAATTGCGTGCGAGGTGCAATCAACGATTTTTCTTTGACGCAGCCAGTTTATTCGTTCGTCTACGAGATTGTACACTTCATATTTTCAAAGGTGGTAAAGATGTTCCTCAGGAGAATATCGATTTAATTTATGCGGCTTACGACATTTTGGAGACATTTTTAGCATCGGATCCATTCTTAGTGGGTAAAAGTCTAACGCTCGCTGATATTGGTGTGGCAGTGACTGTTATTTTACTCGAAACCTATGCACCACTACAAGCTGAAAAACAACCAAAAATATTGGCTTGGCTAAAACGATTGAGCTTGACAATTTCATTCTTCGATGACATCAACACAAAGTATGCAAATGAATACCGACAACTCATTCTGACCACCTTGGAGAATAATAAATTGCAACTATAATCAAATAGTATACGACCGAATTCGATTATGTGAACTTAAAAATCATCGTCTAGACATTGCCTAACACTGTGGTCACGTCTATAACTTATAAGTGCTAATTTATGATGACTGCTGTAATATTTTCTCAATCCCAATGTTTCCGCATTGTAAACAAATAAAGTTTGTTTGTACTAACAATCTAATGTACTAATGATGTTATATTTTCAAACCCGATCATTCTTGATACGAACATGGAACTAGGTCTATGGGATCCGTTAAAATGATTTTCAGTTCCATTTTCAGCTGTTTCAAGAAGAACGGAATTTTTGTATATAAAAGTTGGTTTCAATTCGAAATTGATTGAATTGAATTATGAAAAATGGGAGTAGCTGATAAGCGAATTTGGAAATTTATATGTATTTATATGTACGAATTTATATGTATCTTTCATAACAAAAAGTTTATGGAATGTTCATTCTGCAGAGTTGATGGTTGCCCTGATGGAGCGAAGTCCGATGCGTAGGATGCGATTGAACCGAGAAGTTGAGAGGAGAGTTGAGAAGCGATTCCTGCTATGAAGTGCCAGTGATCAGAATGACGATTTCATCCGAATAAATTACTTGGAAAGGGAGATGAAATGAAGCTACCAAACAAATGAATGAAATTACCAATTGTTTTTGATATTGCCTTTTTTGACTTGTAAATTTAAAATTGATTTGCTAATTCATAACACTTTGATATTAATTTCTATTTGCATTCATTTTGCCATTTTGCCATTTATTTGCGCATATATTGCTTTTGATTTAGACAAAAGTTTTTCTTCCTTTTTGAATTTGAGAAAACTGAATTATTTGAGAATTGTTGTTCTTTGTAAATAGTTATTTGAAATTTTGAAAATTGTATTTTGAACAATGTCGGCTTGTTTTTAGGTAGACAATAAAACACTATATATGAAATCCACGAGATTATTTCATCTGTGACACTAAAAATAGCTGTTACATACCCATAGAAATACATGATGCTTGTGCTTTTATTATAATCAAATGCGATTCCAACCAAGCTAAAAATGCCAGTCATGACTATTAAACTGTCTGTTGTTGTTTATAATATTAGTAATTTTAACTGTAGCTCGAATCATGTGTACTGACCCATAGATGAAAGTCACAGTTGAGTTTGCAAAGTTAAACAAATAAAGGCGGTTTCAAAGCGCTGATCATGTTAGTTTGCTATAATCTTCAGTCGAAGAAATAGCTTAATATTTACTGATACTAAAATGAGCGGTAAAATTGTTTTGTACAACTTAGACGTAAGCCCACCGGTGCGCGTCGTCAAAACTATTGCGAGATTACTTAGAGCTTGAGATCCGGTACTTTTTTTCTTCATTTTTTGAATTATTGAAGTTTTTGGAAGTTTTTTTAAATTCAAACAATTACTTATATCAATTTCAGTGATGTCGATTTATTGAATGGTGAACATTTGGCAGAACCATACATCAAGGTATAGGTTTTGTGGTTTTTCATTTCACTTGAATCTTCGTGTCATTCTGTTTATTTGATTTATTCAAATAACGTTCGTTTTTTCTTCAATTTCATTTCCAAAACAAATTGTTATTCTTTTTTTCCAATAGCTAAACCCAGAGCATACCGTTCCAACGCTAGTTGACACTGATGGCTTTGTTATTTGGGACAGTCACACAATTTGTGCATATCTAGTGGATAAATACGCCAAAGATGATTCGCTTTACCCCAAAGATTTGCAATTGAGAGCCAGATGTAATCAGCGCCTTTTCTTCCAGTTTGTTTGTACGCTTGCGTGACTGTTGTGTACATGTACTACGGCAAGGTGGCAAGGAGGTACCAACGGACAAGGTCGATCCAATTTACGCGGCCTATGACATTTTGGAAGTATTCTTGGTTTCGGATCCGTTTTTGGTCGGAAAAAAATTAACAGTCGCTGACGTGAGCATGGCAGTCACTGTGGGTTCACTCGAAGTTTATGCACCACTTCAAAGTGATAAATATCAAAAAATATCGGCTTGGTTGAAACGTGTCAAAACAGCGATACCATTCTTCGAAGAAATCAACTCAAGCTGCGTGGAACAATTCCGCAATCTTATTCAGGGAACCCTGGAAAAAAATAGACAAAGCTAAAATTGATTTTTTGTGTGTGGCATTTACTGTGTTTAGCTTGATCACTATTTACTTTAAATAAACATGAAAAAAAATATATATTTGCTTTATTTGCAATTGTTACGAAAGATTAAATTAGTTAAGAGTTACCTATGAAAGCGACATGAAAAAAGAATTGAATAAACTGGAGTTGAATTATTAGATCTCTTCAAACCACATCAAAATGTGTACAAACTTAATGAGATAATGTGTATGTTTTTATTTCTCATGTGCTGCACCAACAAATGAAAATTTCCATACCACAACAATTCTTTGACGAAAAAACAACGGTTTAATCATCACTAAAAAGTCATTTTCAGTTATTTTCATTCATAGTTTCAAGCTTTCCAGTCGTTTTGCATTTTTGTCGCTAAAACGTCATCCCAAGTGTCATATTGGGTGTATACATATATCCTAATTCAATCAATCCCATCAAATCCATTCAAAAATGGTTTTATACTTTTAAACCCGATCACTCTTGATACGAACATGGAACTCGTTAAAATGATCTTCAGTTCCATTTCCAGCTGTTTCAGAAAGAAAGGAATTTTTGTATCATTTTGACAACAATGCAGCTTTAGTGATACACTGTGTACAGCATTGATAGCATTATTCAACGGATGAGGCAATAAATGCTCCAAGAAACATACCCATCATTAAAATACGAAGTCAAACCTAGAAGACAATTGTGTGGCGTTGCAAGACCAATCCATAGCCACCGATATGGGGCCAAAATTTGCTACTATAGGGTACATAGAGGGCCTTTTGGTGTTGTATCAACCAGTATTTTCCATCAAAATGATCAAATTGACCCCAAAAATGAACCAATATCGTTGAATAAATGGCAAATACCATACCAAGTTTCGAAGATTTTTAGATATTCAATGCATTCAGAGGAGTTCGGGTGGTAAAAAATATTCCCAGTTTGATTTTATGGCGTTTTAACTGGCCAATGAGGCCATTTTCGACAGTTCACTATATTGGTGGCGCCATCTGGAATATGGAGTGTTATTTTTGTCATAAGTAAAGTCTAGATTCGATTTACGAGGTTCAAAAAATCATTTTAAATTCGATTTAGTGCAAAAATATTGTATATTCACCGAAAAAATGCCAATAAACTTCAGTGTACAGACAATTTTGTGAGTAGTAAAAAACGAGTCTTACTCATGTTTGGTCCAAATTTTTTGACATGCCCATTATTTCTTTCATATAAACGCATTAATATCTGCTAGAAGAGTCAGTCTCTTAGATACATGCTCTTATATGACTCAATTATCACGAAAATACATGAAAAAATTAAATTTTTCTGTGAAAAATATGGTGTACAGACAATTTTGTGAGTGACTGTATAAAAATTGATTTCAATTAGAAATTGATTGGATTGAATTATGAAAAATGGGAGTGGCTGACAAGCGAATAAAGAAACACTTGAGATTATTTCATTGGTGACACTAAAAAAAATTGTGACATTCCTACAAAAAAACATGATGCTTGTACTTTCAATTCTATCAAATTCAGTTGAAATCAAGCTAAAAATGCCAGTCATGGTTATTAAGCTGTGTGATGTTGTGCTCAGCCGAAGCACTACATTTGCGTAGCGAATGTTTCCGGTCCATAAAAATTCTACATGTAGAATTTTCTATGTATAGAAAACCATTCTCTATGTATCGATGTGTGCTGAAGTATGCGGTTTCATTATGTGTGCTTGACGATCGTTTTTTGATGTACATTTTTTGCTATTAACAAACAAAATTTTGATCGTAAGACCCATCGAGATCTATCATTTGTGATCAATCAAACTAAAATTGCCAGTCATGACTACTAAGCTATCTGTTTCGTTGTTTATAGTATTAGTCATTTCAACTGTAGCTCGAATCAATAATATGAGCGTTTCTATATGTGTTCACAGTCATATTTCTCATATAAAAGCGGTTTCAGAGTGCTGCTCATGTCAGTTGGTTAGAAATCGCAGTCGAATAAACAGCTTAATATTTACTGATACTAAAATGAGTGGAAAAATTGTTTTGTATAACTTGAACTTAAGCCCACCGGTGCGCGTCGTCAAAACGGTTGCAAGATTACTTGACTTGGACCTTGAAATCCGGTAATTTTAATTTTTAAAAAAAGTTTTTGGAAGTTTTAAGCATTTTTTTTAAATTCAAACAATTGCTTTTGGAAATTTCAGTGATGTCGATTTATTGAATGGTGAACATCTTAAGGAACCCTACATTAAGGTGTGTAATATTAGTGAAAATTACTGTGGTTTTTCATTTCTCTTGAATCTCTGTTCCATTTTATTCGCTTTATCTTAAATAACGTTCGTTTTCACTTCAATCTGTATTTCCTTTTCAAAATAAATTTTCACTCTTTTTATTCGATAGTTGAACCCAGAACATACAGTTCCAACGCTAGTTGATACCGATGGCTTTGCTATTTGGGACAGTCACACAATTTGTGCATATCTAGTGGACAAATACGCCAAAGACGATTCGCTTTATCCCAAAGATTTGCAATTAAGAGCCAGATGTAATCAGCGTCTTTTCTTCGATGCATCCAGTTTGTTTGTACGCTTGCGTGACTGTTCTGTACATGTACTATGGAAAGGTGGTAAGGAGGTGCCAAAGGACAAGGTCGATCCAATTTACGCGGCCTATGACATTTTGGAAGTATTCTTGGCTTCGGATCCGTTTTTGGTCGGAAACAAGTTGACAATCGCTGATATTAGTGTGTCAATTACTCTGGGTTTACTTGAAGTTTATGCACCACTTCAAAGTGATAAACATCCAAAAATATTGGCTTGGTTGAAACGTGTCAAAGAAACGATACCATTCTTCGATGAAATCAACTCAAGCAGCCCGGAACAATACAACAAAATGATTCAGGGAGCCCTGGAGAAAAATAGACAAAGTTAAAATTGACTTTTTGTGTGTGGCATTCACCCTTTTCAGCATTAACATTATTTACTATAAACGAATATAATAATAAAAGGCCGTGAAACAAATTATCTGTGTTTACTTATTGCAATTGTTACATAACTGATTCCAATTTTATCTCCGGAAGATTGAATTAGTCTGTCAAAGTGTTATCAGTGAATGTGACATGTACAATAGAATAAACTAGAGTTTATTGATTAGATTTGTTCAAATATAATAATACAACCTTGATATGATAATGTCTATGTTTTTATTTCTCATGTGCTGCATCAACAAATGATAACTTCCACAGCGTTATACAGCACTACATTTTCTTTGGCATACAAATATTTCAATACTTCATTTGTTGATATTCATTTGATAACATGTTTTTTTTTCAATATATATTTTCGATATAAGTTGCAAATCACGCTATCTATTGATAGCTCGTAACTCCCATACATTCGGTGATCTAATGTATACAAAATTCCAAAACGATTTAAAGTGTTTAATCTAATTCGCTTAGACGTGTTAGTTTGGCTGGTTCCTAATATCTGCCGTCACGAAAATGCGTAATAAACTGGTTTTGTATAATTTGTCTTAGATGTTAGTTCGCCGGTGTGTGCCGTGAAAGTCTTGCGAGATTACTCGCCTAAAACTGGCCTTTCGGCAACTTGAATGAAATTTGGTTCATCTTTGCTTCGCTCTGCTCTCTTGAGAGTTTCGTTGATTAATTTTACTTCATTGTTTCAAACTATTGAGCAATACAGAATGGGCCAGAAAAACTTTCGGTTTTATTTTCAACCGTAATTCATACATTTTTCAATTCAATTGAGCACATGCTTTAGATTTGATGCGGTCTCTAAATATTTTTTATTTCAGTCGTCAGATTGGTTTATCTGTAATTTTGACCTCAAATGTAATAGCCTCAGATGTGCCGAAAAAAATACAAACGGCACGTATCTTTTTTTTGAGAATTGTCTATCCAAATTTTTACCATTCACGTATTGGATATACGAACATCTATGCGGTTTTGCTAATAATTTATGAGCGAAGACGAAATGAAGAATAAAATAAACCACCCATTAATTAATAAATAAACCAGAGTTTTATTGATTACAATATCAAATCCGTGCAAGCTTGATTCAAGATTCTTGATAAGGTAATATGTTCGCTACAACAACAAATGTTAACTCCCATAAGACAAACCGAGAAAAATGTTGTCAATTCATTGTATAGTGAGAATACAAATCCGAACAAAGATTGGCACTAAAAATGAACAACCACATGACGATAATTTGTTGGTATTCATTTGTTAACACGTTTCGGCTATTAGCAAGCAAAATTTTGGTACCATAACGAATAACAACTGATATAAATTACAAGTCATGCTATTAATCCAATTGGCTCGTACAACGTACATTACATTTAGATCTATCATATGCGATATTTCTAAATGAAGTAAGGTATTTAAGTTAAACTCTACTCGTGCTAGCGCCAGTTGTGTTCGAACCTTGGTTCTATTATAACTTCTTCCTAATACTTTTGGTATCGAAAATGAGTAATAAACTGGTTTTGTATAACCTAGATATAAGTCCACCGGTACGTTCCGTGAAAATAATTGCGAAATTACTCGGTCTGGAACTTGAAATTCGGTAATTTGGATGATATTTCGTTGAACTGAATTTTTAAAACATTTCTATAACAAATAAAATAATCATGTCTATAATTCCCATTTAAAGTGATATAGATATGTTGGGCAGTGAACATTTGAAAGAACCTTTCATAAAGGTATACATTCAAGTCATAAACCCAATTGAAATGACGAAAAAAAATGTATTTAAATTGAATTCTCTTATTCCATTAGATCAACCCGGAACATACAGTTCCAACATTGGTCGATAATGGCTTTGTTATTTGGGAGAGTCATGCGATTTGCGCATATCTAGTGGATAAATACGCAAAAGATGACTCGCTTTATCCGAAAGACTTGCAATTGCGCGCCAGGTGTAATCAACGACTGTTCTTCGACGGATCTAGTTTGTATATGCGATTGCGCGATTGTTCGTATTATATTTACCTCGGAGGCAAGGAATTACCACCACAGGATAAAATCGATCCAATTTACGCTGTTTATGAAATTTTGGACGCATTTTTGGCATCTGACCCGTTTTTGGTGGGTGAAAATCTAACGATCGCTGATATTTGTGCTGCTGTGACCGTACTTCCGCTCGAAATCTATGCACCACTGAAAGCCGATAAACATCGCAACATTTCCGCTTGGTTGAACCGCGTTAGACAAACCATACCATTCTTTGATGAAATGAATGTGGAAATTGTCAAAAGGTACCGAGAATGGTTGATGGGTATTATAGAAAAGAATAAGCAAAATGCTTAGATGTGATTCGATAAAATAAAACGCCTGATTCCCCATATGTGTGTTATTTCTTATTCCGAATGGTTTGAGTGTGCCCTATCGCAGAGATGTACGGACCTGAGTGGAGATACACGATAACAAATATAGTTTTGGGCAACATGCGTACGCATAGTAATCATTACGCGCACACAACTAAGGCTACGCTTGTACGTCTATCTCCACACACTTGCGCACATCAAATGTATTGCGCCAATTTTTTTATCACATCTCATAGATAGTCCACAGGTTTGAACTACATCGGAATATGTGTTTTTCTACAAGTAAAATGTTGACAACACAATGTAAAATGATAGAGTTGGTGGGCCATTGACCACAAATCTAATCGATGTCTTTCATGTAAATCACATTACATTCACACAAAATAATGCTGCATACTTTAATACACATCAATACAATAGAGAATCATTTTCTTCAGTTAGTATGAGCCATATAAATTTGTTATGCAAATGTCGTGCCTCAACTGAGCACAAATTCAGTGGAGCACAAGATTAACATAGGGAATGTATGCAGTCCGTACCAATTCTGCATTGAAAATAACTCTCTATGTATTGATGTGTGCTGAATTATGCGGCTTTATTTTGTGTGTTTCCAAACGACGATATACAAAACTCCTGGATAAAAGCAGAATTCTTAAGCCAATTCACACGAGCGCTAGCGTCAGTTTGACTGGAGCTTTGGTTCTATTAAAACGTCTTATTTCTAATGTTTACCGTCACGAGAATGAGTTATAAACTGGTTCTGTACAGCTTAGATATTAGCCCGCCGGTGCGTGCAGTGAAAGTGCTTGCGAGACTGATTGGTCTAGAGCTTGAAATCCGGTAATTTTCTTTCAATTTTGATTTTGACTGAGTTTTTCCTAAATTTTGCATTGACAAATCGAATATTCTTCGCTTTGCTTATTCCAATTCAAGTGATCTTGATATGTTCGGCGGTGAACACTTGAAAGAACCTTTCTCAAAGGTATGAATTTTTATCATAAAATCATTGTAAAATAAAAAGAATTACATTGGTAATCCCGAACTTTTCCGTACCGTTGGCCTTCGTTGTCCGTAGGTACTTTTGGTTATTTTTTGTGAATTTTCTTCAAATAAAGGCAGTGAAAATATAATAATAAAAATAAAGTGAAAAATCGGTCACTTTAACTAAAACTTCGACAATTTTGTATGAGAGGTACCCGGAAACCGATTCTCATTGGCTTCAAAATTTCTGAGGTTTCATTTTTTGAAGAAAAAATAAGATTCTGAAAGTTACATGTTGATCGCATTTGCAGAAGTTTGATTTTTGGCCCTCAATTTTTTCCAAGAGAATTTCGACAAAAATTGAGGACAAAAAATCAAACTTCTGCAAATGCGATCAACATGAAACTTTCAGAATCTTATTTTTTCTCCAAAAAATGAAACCTCAGAAAGTTTGAAGCCAATCAGAATCGATTAACGTGTACCTCCCATACAAAACTGTCCAAAAATCGGTAATTTTAGTCAAAATGTCAAAAATTTTGTATGGGAGGTACCCGTAAATCGAATCCGATTGGTTTCAAACTTTCAGAATCCTATTTTTCTCCCAAAAAATGAATTCCCAGAAAGTTTGAAGCCAATCGGAGTCGATTTACGGGTACCTCCCATACAAAAGTGTCAATTTTTTGAGGTTTTTCTTAGGGCAAGTACCCCAGGATCAAATCGAAAATGGCTCATCTTCGAACTTAAACTAAGTTTTTTGGATACAAAACTTTTGGCATTTCCAGATTTTGATCAATTCAATTATTTTTTGAGTTATCGTGTTTACAAACAGCTACGACGACGACAACGACGACGACGACGGCACACGAACGGAAAAGTGTCTCAAAAAGTGGTTTTCTACGCGTTTTATGAGTTTTTATGATGATCTCAACCAATTTTGCGAAAAAATTTTCAGGACCAATTCCTATACTTTCCCTTGACACGTTGTGTACGGAAAAGTAAAAATATCCCATATCAAGTCAATTGTTCGAAGAAAAAAATGTTACGTATAAATGGTAAATCTGTTGATATTCCAATTGATTTACCCTAAAAAACAACTCATTAGATTAATCCGGAGAGAATAGTTCCAACGTTGGACGATAAAGGATTCATCGTTTGGGACAGTCATGCGATTTGCATGTATTTAGCCGATAAATATGCGAAAGACGACAAACTGTATCCCAAAGATTTGCAATTGCGAGCTCGATGTAATCAACGGTTGTTCTTTGATGCGGCTAGTTTGTTTGTACGATTGCGCGATTGTTCGCTTCATATTTATCAAGGAGGCAAGGAAATACCACAAGATAAAATCGACCCAATTTACGCTGCTTTTGATATATTGGAAGCATTTTTGTCATCTGATCCATTTTTAGTGGGCCAAAATCTAACGATCGCTGATATTTCTGTAGCTGTGACTATACTTCCGCTCGAAATCTACGCACCACTGAAAGCCGATAAACATCCCAAAATTTTAGCTTGGTTGAACCGCGTTAGACAGACCATACCATTCTTCGATGAAATGAATGTTAGTCTTACAAAGGAATACCGTGACATGTTGATGGGCATTTTGGAGAAGAATAAACAAATTGCTTAAACATATTCATGATTTGATTTAAAAAAAAACCAAATTGAATGAATAAATATATTTCTATTCCCAGTGAAACAAAATCTAATAAAATTATATCCAATAATTTGTTTTTCACATTACACAGTCAAGGTTTCTAAGGCAAAATTCATCGAAAAGCAACCTAATGAATGAAAAATCCAATTCGTTGCATCATTAATCGATTTAAGTTGTGCTTTTAATACAAGGAAGACGGAGTTTAGTTCCATTTTAATGGAAAATATTAATGATCAACAACAAGATTCGATTTGGCAATTAATTTTAATGAAGCACATACTTTTTTCCTACCGACTAAAATGTGGTGATTTCGTAAGATTGAAAATTGAAATTGCGGCATTTGTATTTTTATGGAATCATATAGTAAGAAATTGCACTGCTTTATACGGCGTTTTCAGGTAACACAAACATACACTCGGATAAATTCATCGTGCTATTTACCGATCCGCTTCATACTTCGTTAGGAGGAGAGGGAGAGTTATATGGAACTTCGTTACATTTTTTTTATTTATACGGTAGAATTTAAAATTAATGAAAATCTGAATTTGACTTGGTAATTTATGTTCATGGAATGAATTTTTTTCGAGCGAATAAAATGAACGTATAAAAGGTGACATTTTTATCTTTCTTCCAATCATTTGGTAAACCCAGCTATTCTTTTTAAAATTTCTGAGGACTTTGTATTAATTATAAAGATGAAATATATTAATCTAGTACATTTTGCTTGCTTCTTTTTAATCTGCTATGGTGAAAAGGACCGATTTGATAATTATCGTGTGTACAACATCGAAGTAAATGACGATGCTGGCTTAGGAGAGTTTCAAAAGCTGGAAGAATCTTCAAGCAGAATTGTCTTTCTCAATGAACCGAACATTCATCAACCGTTCCAAATTCTGGTTCCACCCGATCAACTCGCGAACATTACAGAGCTATTTAAAAGATCGGCAGTAAAAACTGAAGTTCAACACGAAAACTTTCAAAAGTAAATTGCACTGAACAAAGAGTTGTCTCCGTTTTTCGATCACATTGATTTTCATTTCATACAGACTTATTGACGAGGAACAACCACACGATACGGCATATGGAGGACATTTTGGATGGGATCGCTACCATGACCTAGATGTAATTTATGCTTGGCTTGATGAGATGCTCCAAAAATATTCTAGCGTTCTCAAAAATCATAACTATGGAAAATCGGTCGAAGGGCGCGCTCTTCGTGCGGTCAAACTTTCGAAAAAAGAGGTATGATTGAAATAATTGGTATTTAGGCCCAAACCGAATGCTAAACTATAAAATTTATAGTGACACTATAAAATTTAAAACGTGTTTATGCTGTGTTTAGCCGAAGTATTTGGTCAGATTCTTT